ATCCCGCCCCTCTGTCAGACAATCGAGGCGGCTTACATCATTAAAACTTTAAGAAGGTTTCCATAGCTGTAGACCCATGAATGAAAAGTGGTGCTAGAATTCCTCTTTATTTGTGGAATAATGATGCGCTTATCACAATGTTGTCTGATAATCTTTGCGCAATTGCGTGATAGTGACGGAAGCATCCTGCTATGCTCCTGCCACTTTTGCCTGTGTGAAAATATCTCTCTCTCTCTGTCTATATATATATATATATATCTTGCTCAACTTTAAACAAAATTGATATAGTCAAATGACAAAGACACTTTTGCAGAGTTGTATTTTGATACATCTGCATTATTTATACATTACAACTGTAGGAAAAAGATGTCCTGTTAAGTGTCTGTACAACATACAAGCTAAAATATGTATGTCTATTATCAGAATTTTTTTTTTTTTTTTGGTAATGCTGTGCACACATAATTAAATGTGATATCTTGGATCAAGAACAGAATTGATGAAAATCCTTACATTTACTTTTTTAAAAGTATATTCCCTGGTCTCATGCTTGCAGATATCATTTGAAAACATACATTAAATATCTGCAATGACTACAGAATTCCTGAAGTGACACACCCTTGCCTAGATATGGCTATATGATGACTCAAAACTGGGTGATTTTATAGAGTGGTAGAGAAATCTATTTTCCAGTTTCCCTTGCAAAAACTCCATAGAAGTGAACAGAAGATGCACAAGGTCTCAACCGTGCTCACGCAGGAAAATGGATTGCTATGTAGACTGCTTTGTTGTTTGTTCTTTGCTCCTTCAAGGCATTTCTGGATTATGGCGACCTAAAGGCAAATCGATCATGGGGTTTTCTTAGCAAGAGTTGTTCAGAGGAGGTTTGCCAGTGCCTTCCCCTGAAGCTGAGAGCATGTGACTTGCCCAAGGTAACCCAATGGATTTCATGGCCAAGCAGGGAATCGAACTCTGGTCTCCAGAGTCATATTCCAGTGCTCAACCACTACTCCACACTGGCTCCCTACAGATCACTTATCTCAAGCGTTACAATATCCTCCTTTGGTATGCCCTCATCAATTACTACATTTTATCAAAAGTTCCTTCGTCATCCACCTCAATACCTGCACCTTTCAACTTGTTGCCATGCCCCTGCCAAAAACTCAAAATGTTTTAAAACTAAAACTCCAGGCAAAAGGAAGTGCACAGACTGTAATCCTTTTCTTTTCTTTTCTTTTTTGATCAGCCTGAATTATTTGAAGTATGACATGAATTACTGGAATTCTTTAGTACCAAATTTGAAAAAAAAATGTTACAGAGATTTAGCAATCTTGTTTTCATCTGTTAATACAGCAGAAAAGGTTTTTATTCAGGGGGATTGAAGCATGGAGATTTCACTACAGGTGGGTTACAAGCCGAGAAGGGATCTGTTAATCCCTAACCACCTGGGGATTGCCTAGCAACTACAACATTTTATTTACAGTACTGTTTTTTGGGTTTTGTTTTTTGCCTGGCTGTTGAAATGGCCAGGAGAGTGTAGCAGAACTGGATTTTAATCAGCTAGTTTGTTGGGGCTCCTGCTGGGTTGGCACATTACGCCGAATACCTATTTTGCCATTATAAGTGGCCTACTCTTTCTAGAGCAAAAGATTAGCTTTATGAAATAGCCAGTAGCGCAGATAAAATAGATACAGCATAAGGAGTGTTTGAGAAAGTTGGTTCTTCTCAAGATGCAGCTGCTTTTCTGCTATTTTTTGTCACTCTGGTAAAAATTGTTTTTAATCTCACAGAGAATTGTGTACATTAGTACATTTCCAAAGAGCATATTAAAATATTGTGTAATTGTGCAAAAGGACAATGTCTCCTGTTTCCAAAGCATGGAAAAATTACTGTTTAGATTGCAAACCCTAGATCTCCAGTCAGGTGGGAGACTTTGGAAGTTGTCCTCCAAAAAAGTAACATTTCAAACTCTGCCCTTTCCCTTTTCACCCTGGGAACTAGCTTACCTGGGAACTAGGGTTTACCAGCTATTCCAGGAAAACAGGGCAGAAATAGCCAGAGATATTATAAATGGCACAGAAACATCAGAAAGTTGCCTTTTAAAACATGACAGAATAACACCGGTGGTCAAGTATGGAGTTAACTAGGGATTTTCAGTGTCTACACATGTTTGTATCCTGTTTCATTTCCAAGGAGACATAACCTGATCCATGCCAACACAACTCAGTGTTGTTCTGGAGACAATTCCAGAGAGAAATCCCAAGAGAGACTTGATTTTATAAATTGGAAATGAAAGTCAGCACCACTTCACAGTGTTAATTATGTTTTCTGAACAGTTTGTGTTAAAATATGACTAGTATTGTGAAAGTGGTTTGTATACATGATACAAGGAGCCAGGGCTGCCGCTGTCATTCATAAGAATAAGGTGGCCGCCTGAAGCTTCACATATGAGTTGTTGTTCTTGTTATATTTATTTATGTCCCAATTTTCCCCAAAATTGGGAATCAAAGCAGTTCACAGTTTAAAAGAACGATACAATTAAAAACATGCAAAAAGAGAGCATTAAAATAGAATCAAACTTTTTGCAGTATTAAAACCAGTAATTCAATAAAAAAACAACAAAGTAAAATAAAATATTAAAAAGCTCTTAAAACAGTTCAGTTAAAACAATACAGTACCTCTTAGCCCATGGATGGACAGCAAATTATTTACCGTAAGTTGCTTTTGTATTCCCCCCCCCCCCAGAAGGAATGGAGAGAAGTACTTAAGGATATTTTCTGCCTTGTGACCAAAATCATTTGTCTGGCTTTGGGTACTAGCTGTCTTGAATCCCATTTTGGGAGAAAGGCAGGATATAAATCCAATAAATGAATAAAATAAATAAATAGTGTGGCTTGGATTTGGGGACAGGCATATTTTCTACTCTTCCTAAAGGAGCAAAATGCTTTGGTCAGTCTCATAAGAAGTGATGATAGCACTCAGGTCAGGATATTTCAGTATTAAACACATTGTTGATTATGATGGGACTATTTCCCACAATAAATGCATTGAAATATTACAATCTTGCCTTTGTAGCATAACAAGCATTTATGCGAGTTGTGCACCAGATACTTTTTTATACTGGCAAACATTGTAATCAAGTGGATGTTAGTGTGCAGTGACTCTGAAAATAATATCTATTTTAAGGGTTTGAAGGACTACTTTCATGAAAACTGATATATCAGAAAATTAGGGAAGTACATGTCTAAAAGATTCCAAACTCCTAACATATTTATTGAGCAGAGCAATCCTCAAATTACATCCAGGATCAGAGCTATAGAGCCAGAGTGGTTTGGACATCAGACTAGGAGTCTGGTGAACAGGGTTCAAATCCCTGCTCAGGCTTGGAAATCCATGGGTGAAGTCACACTCTCTCAGCCTCAGAGGAAGGCAAAGGTAAGCCACCTCTGAACAAATCTTGTCAGAAAACCCCCATAATAGGGTTGCCTTGGGATTGGAAATGATTTAAAGGCACTCAGAAACAAATCAGAGATATGCCGCCACTATGGACCTTATCCCACGGGGCCAAAAGCAGCAAGAATCCACATGGAATCAGGCGCTATAGCGCTATAGTTTGCCGGGTGATCCCACGACGTCGCTCGGAATCCGCTAAGAATCAGGTGCTATAGCGCTATAGTTTTCCGGGTGATCCCACGACGTCGCTCGGAATCCGCTAAGAATCAGGCGCTATAGCGCTATAGTTTTCCGGGTGATCCCACGACGTCGCTCAGAATACAACAAGAAACCGCTCGGAATGCAGCATCATTCGGGTTCTTTTGTATACCTGTTTTCATCGGGCATTGCAATATCGCTACCTTATCCATAGCGCTATTATAGCGCTAGCGCCATATTATACTAGCGCTATAGTACTGCAATGATGCTCATATCGGTTTCTTGCCACTTTTGAGAGCAGCGTGGGATAAGGTCCTATGTTGGCAGTAGAGCCTCTGGTGCCCACTGGATGCTCAGGCTGGAAGGGAATATGGAAAACACAGAGAGACAAAAAGCACAGCGACAGCAGAAAAATGATAGAACAATGCCCCAGTCAGGGACTGTGCTATGAATGCTCACATGGCACCCACACAGAAAGAGCCATGAACACACTGTGACAAAACACAGCCCTTCATCACCACAGACAACAACATGTAAGTTGTCACAACTTCCCCACTTTATCTGTCCCTGTGGCACAGCTAACAACCTTTTTTGGGAGGTTTTTAGACAGAGGCTGGATGGCCATCTGTTGGGGGTGCTTTGATTGCAAGTTCCTGCATGGCGAGGGGGGGTTGGACTGCATGGCCCTTGGGAGTCTCTTCCAAAATCTATATATTATATGATTCTATCATTTTTGCTTTGTCCTCAGGCATTCCTAGAGATGGGGGCTCAAATCTCTTTACGTCTGTTCCAATCACTGTTTTATGAACACCACACGAAAAATGACTTAAAGCACAAAACAACAAGAACAACAACAACAGCACCACCACCACCAGCATTAATACCCTAAAGGCACAAGATCCTGACTGATCTTTGAAACTAAGCAAGGTCAGCCCTGGTTGGTACTTGGCTGGGAGACCAACAATGAATACTAGGTGCTATAGGCTATATTTCTGAGCTGGCAAAGCCACCTCTGAGTATTCCTTACCTAAGGAAAAAAACAAAACAAAACATGGAGCAGATATGAATTATTGAGGAGGGGCAGATGGTAGGGCTTATTTTGTATTTTGTATGGTGTTTCTTGAGATCCTAAATATCCTAAAGACGCCAGATTCTGACTCTGGGAGCTAAGCAGGGTCAGCTCTGGTTAGTACTTGGATGGCAGACCACCAACTAGGTGCTGTAGGCTTTATTTCAGAGGAATGAATTGGCAAAACCACCTCTGAGTAGTCCTTCCTAAGAAAAACCCTATTAAATTCATGGGGCACCATAAGTTGATAGACGACTTGAAGGGACATACACTGGCGATAGTGTATGGATGGAGTTAGGAAGAGAATGCTTACACTAGGGAGTCCAGACTTTAATGGAAAGATTAGTGTAGATTTTAGATATTTCATAAAATATAAAATATATGCATCTACATTGTTGTCAGAAAACAGTTCAATGTGCAACAGACTTCTAAATGAATGGGGGGGAGGGAAGAACTGGTAGGGTTTATTCTGTTTACTTATTTTGTATGTTTCTTGAGGTCCTGAATACTCTAAGGCAGGGGTAGGCAACCTAGGGCCCCGGGGGCCAGATGCGGCCCCCTGAGGCCTTTGGACCGGCCCCAGGCTAATCCTGTCACCGCCGCCCCCCGCCATGATGATATTGATTATTGTTGTTATTATTTGTTCTTGGAGTTTTCTTGGCAAAATCTCCACAGGGGATTTGCCATGGATTTTCTGAGGCTGAGAGAGTGTGCATGCATATTTTTAAATATTTTTTAAAAAATTATTTTTATTTATTTAATTTATTTATTTAAGGTGCTTTGTCCCCCCCAATTGTCTGAGGGACAGCAACCCGGCCCCCGGCACAAAAATGTTGCCTACCCCTGCACTAAGGCACCAGATCCCATCTGACCTTGGAAGCTAAGCAGGGTCAACTCTGGTTAGTACTTGGATGGGAGACTGTCACTGAAGACCTGGTATAGGTTCAGGGTGGTCAGATGTCCTCACCGCAAAGGAGGACAAAGTGCTGCAAAATGTAGGACATTCAAGGAAAATGTAGGCCATTACAAAATAAAAGCTAAAAACATTCCTAAAAGTATAAATTAATGCTTATTATTCATGCTCAAAGTGGAAGACATTTTGGAATCTCTCCTGGAGTGAAGTCTGAAATGTAGGAGATGATCTAAATAAATAATAATAATAATAATAATAATAATAATAATAATAATAATAATAATTTATATCCCGCCCCTCTGCAGAGCAATCGGGGCGGCTTACAACATTACAATTTCCATACAGATATGTTAAACAGAACATACAATCATCTAGAAAAGGAGGACGACCTCTGGTCACCCTGGGGAGGCGGTACTTCAGAGGAAGAAAATGGCAAAACTACGGTACTTCTGAGGGTGAAACCCTGTAAAATTAATGGGGTCACCATAAATCCACAGGTGCCTTGAAGGCACACAAGCACATGTTTCTATCAAACTTTTATGGCTCTGTGTATTTTTCACATGTTCAGCTATATATATATGGTGAGTCCCAAATTCTCCTGCAAGCAAGGGTTCTCCGGTCCCTGTGCCTGCTATTGAGGACATTAAGGTCTCATTCCCACTACATTATAAACCGGTTTGGGAACCAGTTTGAAGTGGTTTAAATGACCCTGGTTCACACTTGAGCCGAATCGTTGAAGCGTTTTGGCGAGGGTCCCCTTCGTGCTAGACCTATTTAACACCTGTCTTTTTTATGCTCATTTTTTCTGCGTCTTTTGCAATAAATCGATTCAGCGCAAGTGTGAATGGGATGCGGATCGGAATCAATTTAAATTTGCCATTTAAATTTGCTGGCCGGCTGAAGAGGGTCCATTTTGAATCCATTCATTAGTCAATGTGAATGACAAGTGGGTTATTTTACAACACAGAAATGCGATCAGGGAAAATGTAATGCGAACCATGCTCTGCTGTCGAACCAATCCATTAATTTGGATTGCAAACTGATTTATTTGTAGTAGGAATGAGGCCTAAGGGGGCATTCACACTAGGTTTTTGTCCTGAGGAGATGTGGATCGCCGCACCAATAAGTATCGGGATCATTGTTCCCATTACATTTTGTGTTCCTGAATCTCTCCTGAGTCATTTTATCCCTGTTATTATTCAAACATGCAATCATTTCAGGATAAAATGGAGCCACCTCCATTCCCTTGAACGATACAGAGCGATCCAAACCGATATTGTTTTCATATTCAGTAGATTGTTCTCAGAGGGGTGGGGTATAAATAAATAGTATTATTATTATTATTATTATCACACTGCTGAAGATATAGATCGATATGGTTCTTTCAAAAAGATGTGGGGAAAAACCCGGTATTGAATAAATGGCGTTTTGGGCAGGCCTCCCCCAGCAAAGTGCACCAAGTGCATTCAGGGCCAGTGTGAACGGCAAGGAAATAACCTGGTTTCACACCAGGTTATTTCTCTAGTGTGAACGCATCGTAAGACTTGCATCCGCACTGCAGATATAATCCAGTTTGACCCCGCTCCGACTGCCACGGCTCCAGGCTATGTATCAAACGACCATTCCCAGAATCCCATAGCCTGGAGATGTAGCAGTCGGAGCGGGGTCAAACTGGATTATTTCTGCAGTGTGGCTGCAGCCCAAATTGTAGCCCTGTTTCTAAAACCCAGAGCTATCTCCAGGGAAACGAGGGACTTTGCAGACTGCCAGAATTAATGCAGCTTGAGTCCACTTTAACTGTCCTG